GGACCACGGTAGGCATAGCTGCAAGGATCTCCTTATCCTTGGCAGCTGCGGAATGACGAATCACAGCCTCTGTAGTGATTGTCGTCACCTGAGACACCCTCGACACTGATGTCATCATTGAACTTGTGGCTATGAAAGAAAAAGAAACGAGAAAGAAAATTTTCATCATTCACTTTTCTTTAAACTAATTTTTTTTGGCTGGCCTGTGAAAGAGAAAAACAACAACAAAAATCGCTGAAAGAACTTACTTGGTGGAGTTGAACTCCTGACGCTGTCCAGACAAAATTCCCAAGGAGTGACAACGTTGTCTAACCCCTCTCAACGCCCAAAGCACGTCACCGGTTGTAGCAGCTGCACCACCTGAGGAGGTCACGGACACAAGTGAAAACATTGAACAACTTTTTCACCTGTGAGCAGCAACCTCACCTTCAACCGCCGCAGACGAACACAATCCAAGAACAAGTCCTTGCCATTAAAAATGACGCAACGACCATAGTCCAATGCCATGATGACGTCGTCTCCGCACATATCGTCGCAGACAACGCCATCTCCCTCGAGGACACAGGTACTCCAAGTACCCATCACCACAAGGGAAAGCAGAAGGATCACCTGGAACGACTAATAAACAGACAAATAATCAGTTGAACATTTCAACTCATTGTTTGTCCGCTTACCTTCATTTTTGTTTGAAGATTTTTTTTGTTGTACTGCAAAAATCTATTCGCAATATTGTATTTTATTTTTTTTTTTGAAATTATGTATATCAAGAGGCGCGAAGACTTTTTTTTTCTTTACAACTACTTTACACCAAAAAACCTGTGAAACAGCAAAACGAAACGAAAACCCAAGACTTTACTTTAAAGAAGAAAAATTTTGTAAGGTTATCAGCTCACCAAAAGATTCGTGTCGACAGCTCCGACTGTCAATTGGCACTGAAGACCTCAGGTTCAATTTTCTGTCCTGAAGAAGGCTTGACTCAGAGAAACCGTCGTAAAACAAGACCTTGAGAACGATTGGTTTTTTNTGACAAATGACTTGCACTGCCTTCTTCTAAACTGCTAATTTAGAAGAAGCCTATTCCGCCGAACTCGCGAGTGTATATATTTTATTTATATTTATAATATATACCCGGAGATACCCGGATATTTGTATTCATCAAGAGTGTTCAGGGAACCCGCAGTTCCCCTATCTCGGCGAATATTTCGCCTCTGTATTCTATGTTTCCAGGAAGGTATAAATACACCTTCCTTCCCACATATTTCCTCAGAATTAATCTAGAATCATTCGCGGTTATTTCTCAGAGAGACTTGCAGAACGTTTTAGCAAGACTCTCTTAAAAAGCTCTCTATTTTTGTGTTTGTGAGATTGTACGAATATTTGTGGATTGAATATATTTGAAACATATATTTTTATTGAACTTGAACATTTATTTATACCTCGGTTTACGGACAACAAAATTGAGTTTTGAATTTTTACCACACCGGGAAAAAGTCGTCAGTGGACAATTCAAAAGGTACCCTAATGTGTATGATGAAGTACTTTAATGGAAACAAACAGTATAAAACCTGTTTTCAGTTCAACTCAGATGCGTATAATCAGAAATTATTTCCAACTGGAAAAAAACTTCTCGAATATGTTGAAACTTACATATGTCTGCAGTAAATTGTGTGACGTTTAGAAAATTCTAGGCTTTCCAAAACGTCAGGAATTTTAAAAACTTCCAGCATTTCTTAAATGTTATGCATTTTAAACTCGGCCGACATTTCGAAGACAAAGCAGGTACCTTATATTCAAACAATTTCAGTCATTTTATAATTTCTCCGTTTTATTGATTTCAGATACCTATAAATCGGAGACATGAGTTGTAAGAATTTCAGGCATTTTAAAAGATGTAGGCGTCTTGAAAGTTTTTGGCCCTTCAGAAAATTTCAGCATTTATTTCCAAATGTTTGCTCACATTGTTTTTTATTAACAGGAGTAGGTTGTAGTAGAAGGTGTTTTGATCCTGGAACAACGCCAGATTCCACCGCCACCGATGTGGTGACCAGCATGACAACAGCAAGTGGCGCCATGAGCCGCCCAAAGGCACTCAACAGAAGCGACTGGCGACAGCCGCCATCGCCGCCGCCGCCGCAAAGGACCGCATTCATGCGATGCAAATCCTAAAAAAAATTAGGGCAATTTTCTGGGAAAAGTGAACAATTCCAAATCAGCCTGATATTTTCTGAAATTATTTTTGTAACGTTCGATCTACGATATACGATCAGGAAATGAAAAGCACACTGTTATTTCTTCGACAGTTGAACGCGTCGACGATGTTATTGAGAACATAAAAATTAAAAAAAAAAATTAGATCACGATTCACGATAATTTATGGCATTGATCGATCATGTCATCCAAAGAATGAACGGTATTTTCTGCTGTTCTTCTTTCTGATATTAAATATATTGCTGAAATTCAATTGCGAATGACTAATAAATAGGAAAGAATTACTGTTCAGTACAGGATGAATTAATGGCATGAATGATGTTGTATGTCGTCGGAATAATTTATAGGACAGAGAAATCATCTAATCTATGTTTTGATGTTTTGCAGACGGATTTTTCAGAAATTTCCATGAAGTTGTCCGACTCTCAATCCCCCCATTTTGCAAATACTGTACATTTTTAATGTTTCCCGAGGGATTCAAAACTCAGTGACTCTCATTGCATCCTTGAAAATATTTAGATGCTTTTTTCAACTTAACCTGATATTCGAAATAATCTTCCCCTCCTTGTTTTTGAGTATTTTCACAGAATTCGATTTCTTAGAAAATATATGATCTCGTGCTCTGTGGAGGAGGAAAACCTGAAAAAAAAGATAAAGTTTTCGTTTTTCCCACAACCAGCAGCAGAGCTAAAATATTAAAAATATCGAGATGAACTCGAATTAAATAATTTAAAATCCTGCTCTCTATAATCTGAATGAATTAGCACTGATTTTATTTTGGCTGATTTTCTAGAAATCGACTCCGACGTTGGTAATTTTTTTTTTCTTCTCTTCAGTTTCCACTGAAAATCTTGTGTTCAGTAATATTCGAATCAGATGCATGATTTTTCCTTTCAGATTTTGAAGCGTCTCTTGCAAAGAGGACTTCAGAAATCCTGAAAATAATTTTCAGAATTTCAGACTGAAGTCCGCGGAAGAATTCCTTTCAACATTCTTTACATACCGATATCCAATAAATTTGTCAATTCCATCAATCAATATATTGTTTGTCCGACTTCAGATTTCGACACCCGAAATCATCTGATATAAAATCCAGTTCCTCGTATATATACTCGTATGCCATACCTTTCTTTGGTGCGTGGAAAATACAACAATTCCATTTATACCGTAATTTGAAAATTGCTCTTGCATTTTGTCGACAAACTCAATTATATGCGGCAAATACACCCACTTTTTAAAGCACCATCGGGACGCTGCAGGTTGACTGAATCCAATTTATACTCAAAATATGCGCGCCTTCTTTTTTTTTTAAACCGGACGGAACAAGTGCACGAACACAACTGACATTCGGCAATCACATCGAGACAATTGAACAGGTGTGGAATGAATACATGTACTGATTCTCCATGAAAATAGGGAAATGTCGAAACCAGGTGGGAAAATATACATAAAATATTATATTAGGGGACTGAATCGAATGATTTCCACACGCACGCGCAGACGGAGCGACGGCCATCCGGAGCTGGGCTCCTCGCGACACACGTACTGAGACTGTCGAACTCTTTTTCCATTTCTTTCCGTGTCGACACTGTGCGACAGTCCATTCGCGGGTTGCCAACGCGTGTCGGCGACGACCCTGACAATTGACTGGCCATGCAGTGCTGGAAGTTGAAGTGGAAAAGAAAATATGGAGTATTCCGGATATGGCTCAGAAATTCTTTGAACAATAATATTTTTTTCAATAAATATATAAATGGAAGAATTGATTTCAACATCAAATAAGTTTTTGATGCCGTTTTTATTTCGAATTTCTTTTATTTTATACGAGGATTACGGAAAGACGAATCTTAAAAGAATACATTTTTTCTAATGATTTTAAACGAGCCAACACTTCTTTTTTTAACTGAATGAGAAGCTGAATTCAGAATAAAATAATTATTTTATTCAAATTTCCTTCGATGTTTATTATTCTGCATTTCCAAGAATAAAGATCAGATCAATTATCCGCAGAATATTCGGTCGCATTCTGTTGGATGTGAGCCTCTCTGAACTAAATGCAATAAGATGGCAGCCAATCTTTTTTGCCAATTTTTGAAAGATATTAAAGAAATTAGGATACGAACAAAACTAAATCCAGGCGTGAATAGATTTTTAAAAACTTCTGGCTAGCTTTTCTTCAAAGTGTTTCATTAAGTTATGTGTATATTCAAAGACAAGCTTAACTATTCATGAATACGGAGCAAATAAAATAATAGAATGTGATTCAAAGTGCAGCATCATAATCTCAGCAATAAAATAACGAAAATTTGTGAGACCTTGGGTTGTAATTATCTGTATAATATTGCAGCATTAAATATTTTCCATGTAACTTTTGGTAACCTTTCTCCTCATTCTCTGATGCAGGCTTTTTTCATTTTTCATTTTTTTTTTGCAGAAAGAACAGTTATATAATGGACGAACATTTGAAAAATACTGAAACGCAACTAAATCGCACTTTTCTACCAACTCATATATTCGGTTTAATCTCTTTTGAGTTCAGTTCTTGAGTATTTCTTCGAAAATTATTACCGTATATTTCGGGATAGATATTTTATGCCACCCGGTTTATCTTCGACTTTTCTGGGTCTTGATATTTTTACTCCAGTTCTGATGTTTGCTTTCGTTCTGCCCCGACCCTCAGAACATGGAAGGATATTGTCAACAAGGTGCTCTTCTTTGCTCGTCTGAGGAGTGTCGAGGATTATATTCCACCCTTGGCTCAGACACAAAATTCAGCTGTTTTCCTATGTGTCTGGCTAAGTTCTGCTGAAAACGAGGTTTTTTTGAATTCAATTTTGCTGTTTTCGATTGTTGAAGGACCGTCTTTCAATTTCTCAAGTGATCATTCGCCTGATTTCAACTCGTCTATGATATGTTACTATACCGGACTATTATAGAAGTCATTGAACCTTTTTTCTCTCTTATGCAGTGTTATTTCACCAATACAATATTAACCAGGTTTTGTTATACAATCAAAACCCTTCAAGAGGAATTCACGATAATCCTTTAAAAAATGGACTTGAGGTCAATTATAAAAATTTGAGGAGTTTTTCAATTTGGGCACCAAACATTTTTCTGTATGTAACTTTAAAAAAAAATTCAAAGTTGCAGAAAAGGGAAATCAGTGCTCTTATTCGGAACCTATGAAAATGCTATGCAAATTTTTCTAAAGGCGGTGGTGAACTTGAAGGGATGGACCCCGTTGCCCAATTTGTCATTTGATCCCAGAATCGTATGAGGTGGAATTTGTATTGCTTTTATCTTCCTTGGGTCCCCCAAAATAATAGTCCAAAGGCCTCCAGAAATTCGTCTTGTACAATTTATGTTTGATGGGGGAAGGCGTTAAGTTATTCAGGTCTATACATGTGGACTCTATATAAATATTGTATATTATACACTACGATAGCAGTGAATATTTTCACCATATTCACTTCATTGTACGATAAGACTACATCAAATAAGAGACGCACCTCAATTTCTAGAAATTTCGTACTCCTCAATTTAGAAGTACTGTACACTCAAGATTTGCAACACAAAAGTTCGCATGGTTTTAAATGTTTATAATCAAATTTTTATTTATTTAGGTAATTAACAGATGAATTTAATTTTTTCCATACGTGATTGTTTTATGCGTGCGATTTATATATATGGAATGAATACGATAATAATTTGTAACTGCCGCAAACGTTTATTTTCAATTTTTTCCATCATCCATTGATAAAAGAATTCGTGCACGACAACAAACATTGGACAACAACAAAATTCAGCATGAGTTGAATATGTATATTTAGTATCACAGGATGCAATTCGAATTTTTGGAAATAAATTGCGTGCCAATTTCAAAAAGCAGCGGCGGGATCCGTGGATCAAAGTTCATCTCGGTTCCAAATCACGCCTGCAAAAGTGTCAAGAAAAATCCTTGATGAACATCTTATGTAATATAAACACAGGGAATTATGAAAAATTTTGAATTATTGCAGCACATATATGGGGTCACCTCTGGTCGCCAAGTGCTTTTCCACTTCGTCCATTATATCGTCATGTTTGCTTTCGGGGAAAAAGTCCAAAAACACGTCCAAAACTTCGTTTCTTTCTTTCTCAAAATCCGCCAAGGCTGTTTCATAAAATTCCGCAGTTTCCGTCATGGCCTTTGCCAGAGGCGTCGGTTTGAACTTGAGTTCTCGCTCAGCTTTCTGGATCGAAATCGGGCCCCTTTTGCATAAAAAAAAATATATATATATATATATTGTATCTTGAATATCAGAACCAGTTTTTTTTTTATAAAACTTTTTTTCTTCATTCGTGGTCTGTTGAATTGAAATTTTTATTTATACCGTGTTACTGATGGGAATCCCAGAGAAGGAACGTCGCCAGCAGCTTCTGTGACGACTATGTCCTTTTCGAGGATCATTTTACCCCATTCTTCGAGGAACCTTATGGGTTGAAAAGTGTCTTTGCTGGCAATGTTGTAAGCTTGGTTGTGAACTTTGCTTCCCGGCGACAACATCACTGCTTCGACTGCAACAGGGACATCTTTCACGTAGACCAGACTCGTTTCACTTGTTGCACCATCTTCTGGGACCTGCACTGGTTCATCGATGACATCGTAGTACCTGGAAATTGTAGACATAAAAATAAGTCGAGAACTTTGAAAAGACTCCAATAAGCGTTACGCTTTAAAAAATATAGAAATTTAGGGAGCTTCCGGTTGATGGCTTCCCTTGGTGTATTCTAAGATGTTTATTTGGAGAGCTGTTGAACAAGAAAGGTTATCACTTTGTTCAGCACAATAAAACGTTTTATGGAGAGATACAACAGTCAGTTCCTCCATGAAAAGGAATTGATATGTTTGTGAATGAGTTTCTTCGTGAAAAAATCATCGTAATTAAAATCAAATAGAATATCCTCTGAGGTATCCTCTAAAACAAGCATCTTGTTCCGCGGGGTCTTACAACAAGTTTTGTTTAACTTAAAAGAAGTGTAATTCAGCAACTTGAAATCGTGAAAACCTCTAGATTTCGCCAATGAAAAGACCGGAAACGCAAGAAATGAATTTTTTCTTTGCAGTATTATTTTTCATCGTGTCAAAAACTCAAAATATAGACAAAGCTGTTTCTCAGAGGCGTTTAGTAGTTCGACCGGTGGTGAGAGTTTCTTCTATCAGTTTAACATGCTGGCGAAATCAATTGATTTTGGTCTGGAAAATGTTTGCAAGCATGTGCAAAAATTTATTATATGCAATTACGCGGAAGCTTCTTATATTAATTAGAACTAGATTTTTCTTCGTGCGAAATTCTGCGGGGATTATGTGTGGCTCTGCAATGGGAATTGATTTTTAAAATGACTCTGCCACATAAATTTGCTGAAACAGTGATCAGATTGACTCATAAGAGTAAAAATACTGATAAACTGCATCTACCTAATTTACACAAATATTCCACAACTTTGGGAAAGAATGTCGTTTCAAAAACTTTAGTCATTATTGCTTGACAATAACTTTATACACTTTGCATAATTTGCTCAAATATACATTGCTTATTTTCAAAAGAAAAAACCGTTTTTCAAGAAACTTTAGCCAAAGTTCTTGAGAATTATTTTCAAGCTGGGCGAAATTGTCTTCCACTGAATATTATTGCATATATAAACAAAACAAAAAATATGAACATTCCATTAAAACCAGCAGAGACATGTATGAGAGATGTTAATATCTGAATTTTAAAAAGTTCAACAGTTTTCACGAGCTCATTATCAATCAACTGCGTGATTTTTTTCCTCATGACGCAATACCGGAATTCTCATTCATATTCATATCGCAATAAATACGAAGAAATTGAAATTTCCAACCTTGATGTACCCTGAATTATTATACCTTATTCGAAGGAAATGCAACCAGCTTCTGTAAGTCGTGTCTCGAGGTCCGAAAACGTCGGGGAGACGGAGCGACACGTAGCGGACGGATCCAGAAGCTGCGAGTAGTTCTTCGCAAGCCAGTTTCTCGGAACCGTACGGGTCTTGCTCAGAGAGGGCAGCACTCTCGTCCACGTCGTCCGGTCGAACGGCGTCGCCCTCTAGCGACAGTCTGTCGTGTTCTGCTTCCTGGCTCACTTCATAAACGGAATCCGTGCTGATGTAAATGTACAAGCCGACTTTCTCGTCAAGCACTCGCAGCGAATTCTTCAGAATCTGTTTCAGAAAGAAGAAAAATTGCAATCCACCAAAGTCTCAGAAACACAACAAACTCCTTTTCTTGATGAAAAATTGCTACCGTGTTTAGATTCGATACTTGAACTAAATTTGGAGCATATATTTTGTGGGTAATCGATAAAAAATGCTGTGAAGTCCATTTGAATTCAATAACAGTATAATTTCTGAAATTAGTTGATGCAATTCAACGGAAAAATATTCAGTACTTTCATTGTAGAATGTACTGTATATGGAACCTACTTTGCTTCAAATGTCCTTAATGTGTTGATCTTCTTGCAATAGAAAATTAAACAAAAATATATACAGATGGACTATCTTCATGATTATCTTGTTTAAAACTATTTTTTCTGCATAAAGATTTTTTTGTTCATATACGATTCTCTTCCCCATGTTATACGTCTTTTCTAAAAACGAAATTGCAGCTTCTGCTAATATTTTTCTGGCTTTTTGAATTTCGTTTTAGAGAGAATTCACCTGTTTTACGTGTATAATGACTCAATAAAGACTGAGAATTACTTCTGTACAATCTCACATATTCATATACTGTATACCTCTGTATTTTTTTTTTGCATGGTTGAAAATTCTCCAAAATGCACTGTTCATTTGCAACAAAGGAACCCTTGCTAAATTTCCAATTGAAGTCGAATTAGGAAAAATATCACGTATATTTTCTGCAATATTAAAATTTCATCACAAAATATTCATTGCGTTTTGATGAACTTTTGATGCTCCAGATAAAGTTAGATTTCCCCAAACTGTATCTGATTTTGATAAAACCAACAATTTTGGCTAAACGGGTGAATTGGCTCTTCAATGATCTTGTTTAAAACGATTTTCTCTGTACAAAGAATTTATTTTTGGTCCCATTTTTGAAGGGTCAACCTCTTCAAAAGGTTAGAGAGGTTCTCCACAATAAAATTCCCTAAACAAGAAATTCTTTTATGGTCCCTGGAATTTCATTGTAGAGAGAGAGAGAGAGAGAATCTGTTTTCCTTATTTTTATATTGAGAAATATTTTTAAATATTCCTTATTTTGCATTGGTTCTTTTTGCAGGATATAGGAAAGTACCAGCACATGGCATCCAATGGCTGTTTTCTCTAGTTTTTAATAAGTGCAAATTTCAACCTTATTCGTAAGCTAGTTCACCTTTGGGTTATAAGCGCTGAAATCGACGACAAAGTCAAACTTGTCCACACTGCGCACAAACTCCATGACCTCGTCGCATTTCTCCAGGGCCTCGCATCGCCCTGGGTCATTCATGCTGCAGTCCTTGAACCGGTCGCAGCGAAGGGACCTCACCCTGGGTTTCACCCTGGTTTCGGAATCATAGTACCAGTTCCCACGATTGACCAATGTTATGTCATAGCTGCCCTTGTCGAGCAGGTAAGTGGCAGTCTCTGATCCAATGAACCCGTTGCCACCAAAGAGCAAAACCTTTTGAACAGCGCCCACCTTGAAAATGCTCGTGACTACGACGCACATTGCTAGGGAAATGGGCCATGGGTTTCCAGAGCCAAACAAAACAATTACACCCATTTTTAATTATGTATTATACTATATGTGTTGACCTATAATGAGAAGGGAGACGATGGACGCGGGAACCGGGTTTCCGTAAAAAAAAATCCAGCATTTGATTCTGCGAACGGAAAAACGAAGCTATAAGCAATAAAAATTAGCGATACGACGAATGATCTCGGAGGACGACTATTCACTTTTCTGCACTGATATTTTAATTTTTTGTGAATGATCAAAGGTTTTTAGGCAAGCTTGAAAAATGCATGAAGATTGTGAGGAAAAGAATGCAGAGGAACTTATCTTTTACCACACAAAAGGCAGAGAAAGAAAAAAGGGTTTGAAATGAAACAAAATTTGTAGATTGATTAGATGATTGAGAAGGAATGAAAACACGGTTCAATCAGCCCTGGGCTGCGGCCTGGACTTGTTGTCCTAGTTTAAGATGATTATATTGTTCGAGACAAGTTCAAGTTGAGCAATTAGAAAAGAATTTCGCAAGTTCAAAGCAGAAACCAATTTCGGAATTGGTTGAGGTTTGACACACACAAATTTGCAAGAGTTCTCTGGAGATATCCACACGACTTGAGAGTTCAACACAGAGTGACAAGACAGTGGTTTCTAGTTAACCACAACAACTTTTCGGATTAGAAATGAAGGCCGGATTTCGGCGACTTTCATTCTTTTCCTTTGCAATGAGGAAATTGTCCTTGATGAGCCTGGGAACCAAACCTGGGTTTGGTTCTCAGGCTCACAAAAATAATGCATCGATAATTTTATCTGGCGCCTCTTTAGATTTGCAAAATTTACGTGATTTAGATTTTTTCCTGACAAAGATCATGTTTTGCTGATTTCACAAATTTTATACGCGGAAAGCATGTAAATTATTTGGAAAAATCAAACATATTGCCCCGATTTTGGGAAATGAGCATGAATTATGTGAAGCCTGAAGACACAAAAAAACCAGGATAATGTCTTGAAATTATTTCAAAACAACGCGCAAAGTAAAAATCCCATTTTGAGATTCAATCATAAAAAAATTTTAATAATGCTGAAAAGCAGATACTGTAATAGTACTAAAAAATGATTTCACTTTCAAAATGTTTGATCAAACGTTTCTAAATGCTAAAAAAAAACAGATTTCTAAGACACGCAAATGTGCAACAACAACAAAAATCACAACTGCTGCAGGGTATACCTGATTTAAATGGCATTAGGTAAAATGTTTGCACGGCAGAATCGGATCAGAATCGAAGGAAATTCATCAAAAACTTTGCTCAGGGAAATGGGAATGAATGGATGTGAAAAGAGACTGTCTGTTTTGGCTGAATTTCACAGCCATCTTATTTATTGTGTCAAATAATACTTTCGGGTCTGTTTTTCATTTATTGCTGATTTTTTCCTGCACAATATTACCAATGTGTGAAAAACAAACACAAATAGACATTTTCCCGAATTTCATTCAACGTTGCAGAACCCGTCATGACATCACGTGTATTTCCAAACCATGATTATTCATAAAATTGACACTATTTCTTTGTGCCAGCGTAGTGGAAAAAACTGCAATTTTTTTTCAAGTATCAGAAAAACCTAAGAAATCACCCAACATAAAATGACAACGTTTTGAACGGCTGACTTGTATTGTGGGAAGTCATTTGAAGCCAAGAATTTTTCAATTATTCCATTTAAATGCGCGCATTCACCGCCGCAAATCGTGCATATTTTTCCTTCATGTTCAAATTTCAACTGCGTTTCGATAAATCAATTTTTTCAAAAACACAGCCACACGAAAAACAGGCATTTTCATATGCACTTCAAATAAAACAAACAAGCGATTCACACATTGTATAAATACACTTACGTACGTCGAACGAAGCCACAAGCACATCTGGTTTGTGAGCTTCCAAAACAGCTTGGTATTATAGAGGCAAAGGTCTTGTCCTCGTTTTATGTTACTTTTTCTTGACTTGAAAGAAAAAAAACCAGGTCACTCCACGGATTTGGTTCACTGAAGAGTCGTTCCGGGCCGAAGTTCGGAGCCTTTCAGGAGATTTCAAGCCCTGGCTTTCCTTATAACGGTTCGTTTCACTTGCTGGGTTCGAGCACAATACCATCGGGTCAATGACCGATACATTTTTTTTTAAATCAAGCATTGTATATTTTTTGTCGGTGTTTGAATGAAGCGGATCGTCCCTGACTTGCTGTTTTCACCCACAGTATTTTTCCCACCAAAGAAAGACCAGGAGTACTATCTTCTTTTTTTCTCAAATTCTTCCAATGCCCATAGAAGTGCTGTCGAGAATGCTTTTTTAAAGTCCAAGTCTTTCTCACTTCGCAATACATTGGCATCTCAGTTGTAAAATGCTCCAGGGAAGAGCTTGGATTTCTCCAAAACGGACTTCGGCTGCTGTTAACTTTTTCTTCGGATAGTGGACCCTGTTTTGCATAATCGACTGTGGGAAAGGTGCTGATTATCCTTCGAAAAACGTTACCTTGCTGTGAGGGAGCTACCTGCGAGAAAGACATTTGAAGGTATAAAATTAATTTAAACTCTGGATTGTGATAAAACAGGAGAGTATAGATCGTCGTTCTGGTTGTGTCCGAATGTTTCATGAAATCTGTTGAATCCGTCAGTAATTGTATGTTGAGAATTTATCTATGAAATGCTGCTGTACAATGATTCAATTTAAAAATGTAATTTTCGAAGTTTTGGAGTAGCTAACTAACCCCTTTCTAATGTGTTTGTGATGGCATATTTTTTTATTCAAAGCATTTTCCTTATGGGATTCTCTGTCTTCAAGCCAAGAGTGTGATGCTGAACCAAGATATAGGTCAAAAAGATGTTGAGCGTGAAAAGATCTTGTTATTAAACAGGAATGCTTTGTAAGGGGTTCTTGTACCTATTACAGATTTTAAGCTGCATTATAAATCATTCCGGATGCAGGAGACATCTGAGTGCTGAGTCAGTTACCCAGCCTCTGAGGGGATTTAATTTTTAAAATGCAAAACTACATTATGACTGCAGAATTAAGGGAAGCTGGAGTATCCTAACTCCTTGGAAGTTAAAAGAGGACTTCTTCATTGTCTCTGATCACAGGTTTCATAAAGACAACAATCACACACACAATCAGCAAATACAATCTCGCATTGTGCAGTAAAAACTTGCTTTCAAAAAGAAAAAAATAAGCAAAGAAAAGATGTTTTGCCTATGGTGCAATTCCCAACGTACAAACTTCCAGAGCAAATAACTCTGCAAGTTTTATACTTGCAAAAATCCACAATGACATCTTAAATTAAAGCTGAAGATGTACTCAAACTTTTTTATTAAAAAAAATTGACCTGATTGACAGATCTTGAGATATTCCCACTTTTCTAAACCTGGATTCTCTTTGGTGATAAGAATCTGGAAAACCATAATGCCAGATTCTTATCTTGCTGATGCATATAAGCTTTTGGTGCAAACAGTGACTTTAAAAGCCTTGTTTCTAAAATTTGTTGTCTTAACCAGCTTAAATTTCTAGCAGAGTTGTTGATCAGACAATTGCTGCTGATAAAAACTGTTGACTGTTGGTATCGAAGATTTGACTGTTTTCTGCGTGCTTTCGAAGAATCAAGATTAGACTTTGACAAACTTTACAAGTGCGTCTTTTATTTCCATTTCACACAGCGTAGAAATATATGAGCATGCGGCGTCAAGGTTCTCGCGTCAAACGTTCTGAGAGAGTAAACTTAACATAGTATAGCGGACAAGCAATTATGCCGAGTGACGTTCAACAGGAATAAGTTCATCTGGGGAGAGGCAGGAAGTAGTAATAACAACCACAGCCTTCTCCCTCATGCCTGATCAAGTCTACTCAGGAGGTCTCAGGGGTTGGTTTGATTGACTGGTTTCACTCAGTTCATTCCAACCCCTTGTTCAGGTATGTGCACTGTTCCCTAGAATTCACCGTTTTTTGTTTCTCGCTTCGTTTTGAGTGAATCCCGTTAATTTAAAGTTGGATTTTGTTGTCTTTAGCCTTCTTATGCCATTCAAATCCTTAAACCTTAATTTGTTGCGGTTCTCTGTCCGATTTTCGCGAACAAAAATTCGAATTTCGTAGCGTAGCGTCGGCGGTAACAATCTAATTTGCGCGTGAACTGGGAAAAAACTAAAAATTCCGTACGGTCAATCTTTTTCTATACAGGTGATAGTGATTTCAACCAATTTTCAGCCAATTTCAACAGTTCGTTTTCGCGGCATCAACAAAAAGGTGATTCCCTTAGGCTTAACATAAGGGATCGGATCAGTGATCAGTATTCAGCGAATTTTTCAGATATCTTGGCAAAAATGTCTCTGCGTGTCCTGGTGTTGGTATTTTTGATGGTGGCTGATCCTGATCTTGTTGACGGGAAGTGTTCGGTCCAAAATGGCCGCTTGGAATGTACGGATGCTTGCTCGTTGGACGTTGCTCAGGCGGCGGCGTTTGATGACTCATTCGTGATGACCGGCGGTGTTTTGGACTTGAGCTGCCTAGATTACTTCAACATAAAGGTGAAGGAATAGAAAGAAACAGTTGAATGCATTTAATTGAAATCAATCTGTTTTTTGTGAGTGCAGAGGGTGAAATTGTTGGAGCCAATCCAGTGTGAAGGTGACATCCCCGTTGGGATCGTCGACCCTCTTTCTTTCTGTCAATGGGGTCAATGGGATGAAGGCATTCCGGACATTCCGTTGACGGATGGTGAGGTTGTGGTCACGACTGCGGAGACAATCCTGTCCACGACTTCTCCTCCACTATCTTCTTCCGTATCTTCAGCAGCAACATCTGTCATTCCTGTCATCATCTCTACCTCAGCTGCTAAAGAACAAGGTACGGGAGTTTTGGTAGTCAGATGAGTGTAGAGTTTACAAGCTGTATTTCTTGATAGTGACTAAGAAGCCTTCCATACTTTTGGCTGTCCTGAACAATTTCTCGGACATTCCTGAGACGCATCTTTTTTCTGGGGAAAATACCAACCTGACTTTGACCGTTTCGGATGGGAAGACGACCCTGACTGCGGAATTTCTCTCAAACGGTATCATCGCTTTAATTAGCGGTCTTAGCTTTACCGTTTTGAGTTTGGTCGCCGGTTTGGTGTGGCACTGCTT